TTGTCTTGCCCTGGGGCACAACTGCTAGGAATGCTGTGTGTTCAGCGTGTCTACAGTGCCCTGCGGTGACTGGGGTCATCTAAGGACCAACTGTGGAAAATCTGGCAGCACTCCCCACTTTCCTTTCCTTGTCATTGAGTTGCAGAAAAAAACTTCAGACAAATGAAGTTGTCATGTGCACATGGTGGTGACAGTCGTCACCTAGATAAGGGCTTGGCTGTTGATAGCATTTTAGCCATGACTTTTCTGTACCTGTTTGACACTGCTTACTGCTACAAGAAGCAGATTTCTGAGACAGTAAATTGGTACTTTGAAAGTAGAATCTTCACTTTTCAGGAAAAGCACCTTGGGTCAGTTCCTCTGTGTGTTGAAATTTGCAGTTTCTTCAAGCTCTGTGTTCAAGTTTTTAGTTCTTCAGTTTTGAGGCTTTGAAACTATTTTGATGCTTGAGTTTCTTATGTAATTATCAGTCTCCAGGAACTGAGTCTTAAAATAAAGTGCCAGCTGTCACAAGCATCAGAACCAAAGGAGGAGCTGACAATCTATAAGCATAGGCAGGTGATGCGACTTACCCAGGGCCATACGGCAAGCTGAATCAGGATTAGAATTCAGGTCTTATGGTTCCCCAAAGAATACCATTCCCATGGGATCCAGCTGACTTTCTGGCACAGTTTTGCACAGGATACTGCAGTTTATGCCTCAGGTGGTTAAAACACACGTTTAAAACTGGTCTTAGTTACCTCTGTGTAGAAATACAAGACCTGTTGTTAGCTGTCTTTACTGGCAGTTGCATTTCTTATTATGTGCTGTGTCTGAGAAGATCCGCTTTCCAGGCTCTGGGAGAATTGTCTTGCAGGAGCAGGTCAATTGCTGGCCCCAGCACACACTGTGGCAGGAGATACCTGGTGTAATCCACAGGTCCTGAAGACTGGCTTTCTCTCAAGCTCTGTATCAGGTTGTTCAGATGTTGGACACTGCCCATATCTTGCCTGTGCAATGTCAGAGCTGACCTTGAGCACAGGCAACCAAACCTCTGGGTGTGTGGAAAGGGGACTGCAGAAAAACATTACACTCTGAGGCTGACCAGGGCAACTGGAGCCCATTGGCACCCCCATGGCGCTTCCATCTTCCTGGTAGAGGAGTTTTTGGTCTGTGGCATGGTTTTGAGCTGTGAAGGTGGCAAGAAACATTTGTTTGAGTTGAAGCTGGGACTCTCATGGAGTGGGTGCTGGTCAAACCGTGTACCCAAACATTTGGAATAGTCCTATGAATCTTTGTCAGTACCCGCTGATTGCAGCAGGCACCCCATGTCTATCAGTGTGTTCATTTGAACAGTGGATGTTTTCATACAGATTCAAAGGGAGGCTGGGCAAGTGTCTTGGAGGATGACAGAGGAACCCTGTGGCTCTGGAACTGGCCCAGGCTGACAGTGGTTAGAAGCTGGCAGATCTCTTCAGGGAAGCCTCTGAGCCTCTGTGCTTGCCCTGCTGTAATTTTTATCTTATCAGCCATTCATGGCCATTGTTGAAGGCAAAACGCTGGGCTAGATGAGCTCATGACCCATTGTGGATGTTCTTATGATGGAAATTAACAGTCCAAGATACAGAGATTGTCCTGACTCCAGGCTAGTGTAGAAATGAATTCACAGCTGGTGCTGACTCAATGACTACCTTGTCCTGCCACAAGAGACCTTGAAAAATGCATCCTGTCAGGAAGTTTTGTTAACAACCCCTGGCTTTGTCACTGGAGGAGGCTTGGCTGCATCTCACTGGGGAAGCCTTAGCAGGCTTGCCTGACCAAAAGCATTAGCTGTCCATACCTATCTTTGCCTTCTCCACTTGTCCAGCAAGAGTGGCTCTTCCCAAGCTATCTTTTTGCACCCAAGCCAGCTCTGCTGGCCTCACTTTTGGTACCAGTCTACAGTTTTAGCATTCTACTGACCTCAGCCTCTTTCAAAGTTGTCTTTCAGTGATGTCCTGAATCTTGCTGATGAAGCTGCTTCCCCAGTAGTTTGCAGTCATGATCTGTGACTGGGGAAGGTATGACAGTGATTATTAGCCTGAGATCTGCTTTGTGTCATACCTGCATTTATATTCTGCAGTGCCCTTACAAACAGGGATGGAGATGAAGAGCTTCTCAGTAAAAGACCTCTGGGAGAGAAGCCCATCAGAGCTGCAGTCTGTTTTGGTTACTGGGGATCTCTCTTATTTGATGTTTTGTTCCTCTTCTAATGCTGCCTCACCATTGAAAAAGCCACATCTGGCTTGAGGCCACTTAAAGCAGCTTGAACAAGTGACTCTGTCCTCCAACTGTTCAATTAATGGGCTTGATCTTTCCTATGCTAGTGAAATCTTTTCAGACTCTTGTCCTGTCAGGCTCCTAGCTCTTCCAATTCAGAGGCTTTTAGCTTAGCCAACATTTGGGAGCTACAGCTGGGCTTCTGATAAAATGAGGGGATGCTAGAGGCAGGGATGTAATGGGTCTGATTTCAGCTTGCAAATATGTCTTGGAGAGAACAGAACGCCCTCCTTGTACAATCTCTTGTTTGCTGCAGCAGAGCTAGGAGACATCAACTGCATGGGCTGCTCTGGCTTTTGAAATAGAAATGATGAAGCTAATAATAAGAAAGTAAAATTATCTCTACTTCTGTCTCTTGGGCACCCAGAGGGATGTTTCAGAAAACATGTCTTACTTGTGCTTTCTCTTATTCTGGCTGTTTTCTGCAACGCTGTCGTGGCTCTCGCTTTGAACTCCTGTTTCATTTCCTCCTTTGCTGCTGCCTGCACTCACCATCTGGTACAGGAGCTGCTTGTGCTGCAACTGTGGCTTTGCAGAAGGAATGGATCTAGCAAAAAGCTTCATCGAGGTGGCCTGTAGCAGCCAATAATTATCATTCACTGGTGTGGTCATGTGGTTCCTCACTGTAATCACCTGTAAAATCTAAGCAGCAGAAGGTATTTGGGTTTTTATTTTTAATTTCAAGTCCAGTTTTGCAACTTTTACTTGAATGTGAAAAGGAAGCTGGGGTTCTTTTGGACTTACCATGAGAAGCATGCTGACCGTTCATCTAATGGATAGAATCAAGCTTTAGTCTCCAAATTTTGCTTCAGTGGCTCCATAACACATAAAAAAAAAAGCTTGGTAGGAGGGTTTGTTTGAGAAAGAGCAAAAGAGACACCCGCTGCCTTCTTTCTGGTTTTGCTTTCTTCCCTCCTTTCCTCTACAGCATTCCCCAAGACTTGAGCCCAGCTGTGTCCATTTCTTGCCAGGGATGTCTACTTCACTAGGAACACATAATAGTACCCATTTATTGGTAGTCTTCTGCAGAGTTTCACATAAATATCTTCTCAAGTGACAGTAAATGGAGGTGCCCTGAAAAAACACTAATTTGAAAGGGGGAGCAGAGTGTTCTGCTTGTTATCTGAAGCAAAGCCACTCTCTGGCTCACAGACCAGCAGTAATAAATGGAGTCAAATAGCTCAGTACATAATTGCCTTCGCCTTTTGTGTCAGCTTCATATAGTTCTTGCATGTGACATTCTTCCTGGCGGCCATCATGCTCTTTGTCCTCCCATTGTACTAAGAGTGCAAACAGAATTACCTTGTTTGTTATCACAGCATCTGTACGTGGCTTTTAATTTCTTAGAGATTAAAAAAAAACAAGCCCACAACCCTCAAGCCCTCTTTGGCTGTCAGTTTAAATGTGCTCTCAGCCTGCTTGCACAGCTCACTTCTGCCCTGCAATGCAGAACACAGATCTGCAGAAGAAGTCTAAAGCAGTCAGTGCATTGAGGTTTAAGGAATGTGGTGGTGTTCCTGAAGAAAAGCTGTCTGGAGGGTGTTACGTGGCCTCAGTAAATTGGTAGTTGGGTTCGGGCAGGGAAGTGTTCTGTGCATCTTCTCAATGACAGTGCTGTGCTTAAAGGGGTGCTCTTGTTCCTAGGCTTTTTGTTTTAGGTACTTGTAAGAATGGGAATTATTTTATTTGGCCTCTGAAATCTCTCTCCGTAGTTTTGTGGTTTCCTTCCTATAAAGGTGAACATTTCAGATTAAAATTCTATTTGGCAGCTTACAAGCACTCAAAACAGAGGCTGGAAGGCAAGGGGGGGCAGGAGTGCCCAGCTTATTAAATTTTTCCCAGTGGAGACATTGCCTGGCCTTTCTTTGTGCTGTAAAAACATGAAGGGATATGAAGTTTCTATTTGGGGAGTGTTAACAAGAAAATGTCAGAGGGAAAAGGCAAGCCAGGGGATCTGGGTGGGAAAGGGCTGGGAGAGACATTCCTTCTCTTTCCTCCATCACTTGCACAGATCTTTCTCCTATCTGCCTTTGTCCTGCTCTGGGTTCTTGTAGTTGTGAGGAAGATTTGGTCTTCAAAGGTGGTACAGAAAAGCAGCAGGAGGAGGAAAAGCACATGTTATTGCCAGAGGAACCAAGACACGAGAGAACCATCCTGGTCAGGGCATTCAGGGAGCTGTGCAATAGCTGAGAGCAGGCCCTGCTCATGGTGTTCTAGGCCCCTGTCTCATCCCTTCTCCCATGCAGATTTACCTGCGGGCTTTAATATTCCCCTCTTATCCTCTTGTATCAGCTGAAGCCTTCCCTTGGCACCTGGCTTTCACCACCAGAGAACTTGAACTGCCCTGTAGGTCTGAGCCAGAGGAGGAAAGATGGCAAAAGAGCATCCTTGCTCCATGCATGGTCTGGAGGCCATCAGTATGGAGGATAACAGCTGTGTGGTAGGCTTGGTGACATCCATGTTGTGTACAGTGTGTACCTATGTGTGGTATGTACCTCTGACACAAGTTCCACACACCCCCGGTAAACAGACCATAGAATCACAGAACAGTTTGGTTTGGAAGGGACCTTTAAAGATCATCTAGTCCAGATACAGATGCTGAATATCGTTCTTTCAAACTAAAAAGCATGTAACCAAATGATGCATGGGGTGGAAGTGGAAGGTCACGTTTGACTGGGGTTTCTCTGTTTCCTGCCCTGCAGCTCTTCTGTTTGCTCTTGCCCTGGGAAAAAAGACTTTGAGAAGATGGAGAACCAGAGTGGAGCGCTCTTGGGATATGTCCGATGGGAAGGAGAAGAGGAAGGGGATGAGGAGGATGGGGTGGCTCCTGGTGCTTCTCCTTCCAGGCAGATGAGCAAACTGGAAGATGTGCAGGTGGAGATGCTCGAGAAGGCAAGGGAGCTCTTCCAGCTGTGTGACAAGGATGAGAAGGGTTTTATCACCAAGGTGGACATGCAGGTGAGGGAAAAAATCCTTCCTGTATCCTGGGAGGAGCTGTAAAGGCAGGGGTGGCAGAAGCGGGGAGAATGTTGTGTATCTTTACTTTTGACAAGGGTGCAGGTGGGCTGTGTCTCATTCAGGTTTCTGGGAGCAAAACTCTGCCACGGCCAGCTGCTAGGAGCCAAAAATCCCAGTAGGGCCTTGGACCTGCAGGGAATTCCTGGGATAAGTGGGACAGCAATTCCAAATTTTTAAGGAATGCATAAAATTAAAAAAAAATTGCAACAGTTCCTATGAGCATTAAGCAAGCAGTGGATGGGAGTTCTGGGGAGGGGAAAGCTTTGGTTTAATTTGAAAAACCGAAACAACAACCTCCGAAATCCCCCCCACAATCAACAAGGGGAAGAAAACCCACCAACCTCTTAAAAAAAGCTGTATATCTTCTTTGTTTCAATCATATCTAAAGCCTGAGCTCAGAAACTCACTTTAGGCCTGACCTGTAACTTTGCTGTAAAATGATGTTTTGCTGGTTCCTGTTAAGAACAGTATTTGTTAACAGAATCACTGTAGTTCTTTCTTAGTTTTGTTTTAATGGGTTATCAGGAAGGTTACATGTGGATTGTTTTTCTCCTGTCCCATCTTTCCCACCATCTATAATAAATACTTGGCAGGCCCATGCTGGTTTAATTACTGCCTCACTTTGGTTTGGGTTGTGTGATACCTAATTTTGTGTGGTTACATTAATAAATATTTACTAAGCTTTCACCTAAAGCTGCATATTTAACAGACAATAAGGAGGTTTTAGCCTACCCATCTTATTGTCTGGAAGCTTTTTTAGGTGCCACTTCGCATTATGTGTTCTGCACATGTATTATGAAGGGAAATCTCTCTCTGCTCCTTGTCTGTGTTGTGGGAATAATGATATGGTCCTAACAGGCAGAAGATGACAAAAGAAAGCTATTTCTCTGTTATGGACTGAACATTTTGATTATGATTTGCAAGATTTCCTGCAAGAGCTGGGAACTAAATCCAGACACCCACAAGTCTGTTCTTCCTCTATGGCCAAAGAGATGGAGCTGGTACCTGATGTGTCCAAAGAGAGCTCTCTTGGTAGCAGCAGTGGTCACAGGAGGCTGGCAATACCCCAGGGAGCAGCAACCTTTGGGTAGGGGTGGAAGGAGGCAGGCAGTGAGCTACAGGCAGTGGCTGTGAATTGCAGGAGGAAGAGGGTTGAGCTCCCTCCAACGAAAATAACCCAAAGTTCCCTCTCTGCAGTCCTGCTTGGATCACCAGTAATGGAAAGTGTCGCCGTATCAGTGGGTATTTGCGTCATCACTTGGTTTTACTGGCAGACTTACCGCATCCTGCCCAGGATGCAGTGCTGAAAGGGCACATCACTGTGGGCCAGAGCTGAGGATGGCAGGGACAGGAGCTATTCATAGGGATGACTTGAGTCTTTTGTTCGTTCTTTTGTCTTTGCAGCGGCTCCAGAGTGAACTTCCCCTAACCCTTGAGCAACTGGAGACTGTTTTTCACAGCTTGGAACAGAACAATAAGGGATACCTGACACCTGTGGAGTTCAGCTTGGGGCTAGGTAAGGACTGCACAGAGGCAGAGGAAGGAAAATGTACACCTGTGACATGATATTTTATGTTCTGCTGAAGCTGTACTAGCTATGCAGGGCAATGTTCCATGCTTATGTGAATATCATTGGAGAAGATGTGTGTGCAATACTGTTATCCCCCTTTCTGAGGCTTTGTGTTGCCTTCTTCCACAACTGTTACCTGCCTACCTGGTAGAGCCAGCTTCCAAACACCTCCTACTGGAGATGGTACATGCTTCAGCCTGTATCTGGCTGTATGATCTGCAGTTGTTCATCTCAGTAAGGACCTTTGCTGGATGAGAGGACAGAAATATGCCTTTTGGTAACTGTCTCCAGCTGGTAGCAGTGCTGTTCAAGGATAGTAGGAGTCCTATTAGTAGGCTCTCTGTGTTCCCAAATCTCATCATCTGGCACATTTGTCCCATATATAGCCATAGATGGACATCATGAGGGTACCTGCCTCAGTGCCATTGCTGGTAGAGATAGGCAAGATTTCTCTTTGTGTCAGTCCCCAGTTGTCAGGTACCACCTGTGTTGGCATCCTGGCTCCATGGGACTTGCTTCAGTCTAGGTAAAACACTTCATTATTGCATTCATTTGTGGTAATTTTTCTGTGTCTGGCTTCATTGAAGTCCTTTTCAGACTTTGCCCCTAACTCAAGATTTTGGCTTACATATTGCTGTCTTCCTTCTGGAGTGTCTGGGGACAGAAATCAAGGGAAGCTGCAATCAAGTCTATTTCTTGAGAGGGCTTCTTATATGGACTCTGAGAGGTTACAGGGTACATCTGCACTTCTGACAAAAGAGCATGCATTTAAATTGTTCAGTTTAAAGCGATCTGAAATCTTTCTAGGATGTCAAAATAATCTTCAGGCCATTCTCTACCTCAATTTTCTGAACTGTAAAAGAGATAATGAGATGTGACTCTTTCTTTAAAGCAGACACCCAAAATGCCTAATCTAAGCCTATCTCCTTAATTAACTATCTGAGCCTCAGGCTTACTCTGAGCTGAGTAGGGCTTTGTATCTCCACATAGCAGGTTTTTTCTAGCAACACATTTCAAGAGTGGGAGAGAAGCGGCTAAATCCTGGACATACAGAACTAAGAGCCATAGAACTGTAGAATAGTTTGGGTTGGAAGGGACCTTAAAGATCATCTAATTTCAACCCCCTGCCATGGGCAGGGATGAGAGTGCAAGATCACCCTCAGTAAAATATATCTATAAATTACACTTTGAGGTACACAAATAGTGAATATTTTTTTTCCCTTAGAGCAGCTTCCTGTTCTCATCTGTGCTCTGAACATCCTTGGCTCTTCGCCTCGTAGTCAAGATGTCATTTATGCCTTTTGAACCAAGCAGATCTGTTTTGGAAAGGAAAAGTAGCTGCTGATGGAGGTCTGACCTCTGTATGCAGGAAGGGGGCCTGCATTTTGAGTAGGATTGCTTGATTTGTTTCTTTGAGAATTTGTTCCCAGCACCAGTATTTGTCACGTGCCTTGCATAGCATGAAGTTCTCATGCCATTAGTGTCTCAGCATGAAACAGGATCCAGATAGCTGCAAGCCATCCATACATGGGATGGGGCAGGAGGGAGTGCTCAGGGAGGAAGTTCATTTTGCTCAGACACTATACACAATCCTAGCAAGAGGCAGTCCTTGTCCTGCAGCATTTGAATCAGAACAGATGTAGCACATGAGAAGGGAGGGGTAATGATCTCCTCACTTTTTTAAGCTGGGGACCTGAGGCATGGTGTTATTCTGTGCTGGGCTTGCAGCCACAGAAGCAGCTTGTGGGACCATTAACAACTGAACCCTCAGTGCTGCTACATGTCAATGAAGTGACCTAATGCTGCATACTTCATATGCAAGGGTGGTAGATCATCTTCACACAGATGTGAGCAGAGCCCTAACAGCCTGGTTTTGGGTTGGGAGCCAGTTTCAATCCCAGCATTGCAGACTGGACACTGACATCACCCAGGATGTCAGAACAGAGGCTCCTTACTGACCAGGAGCTGTATGCTACACCAGCAGCGCGCAGGCAGCTTCTCATGGAGCTCTGTCGAGCTGCCATATAAATAGCTTATTAAATGACATCCAATTTGACATTCTTTATTCTCCTTCTTCCCTCCTTCTTCCATTAGGAAAGTTAATAGGGATTGAATTGTGTCAAGGGGCAGGGAGAATGGACCGCTCCAGACATGAGGAGACCTTTGAATCAGGCTGGTCAGATGACTTGGACCCGGCAGATGATGATGAAGAGAAACGATTCTGTTCCATGATGGAGCAGCTCGGCACAGTCCAGATGTTTGAAGAGTAAGTAGAGGAGTCACATGGCATGACTTCTAACATGTTTTGATCTTGCAATACTAAAACTTCGAAGTGCCAGCAAAGACCAAAGAGGTGAACTTAGTTGATTGCTCTCTGAAGCACTTCTTGGGATTTCTGTACTGCTATCTTGGGTTTTCATATGCTTGGTAACAAATGCAGTGAAGTCTGGGTTTTCTCATCAGTTATCAATTACTTTTAGTGCAGTGATTTTTGCAGAGTTTCCCAAACTAGAATTCATACCACAGATGTAAAATGTAACAATGGCATGGAAGCCCATCTGCACACAACAAATGAAAAGGATCATGTGAGGGTTAGACGAGGTAAGGAGGATTAAGTGTGCTGTCTGTTCCAAAATGGTGTGTGACTGTTCACATATGTTCAGACAATCTTAGCTCTGAAAGTCTCTGTGAAGGATCTGTGTTCAAAGCACTGCTTGTGACTGGGTTGATCTTGAAGAGTGTGGAAGGCTAAACTGGGCAATGGATGCTCACCTGAGCCCTGAAACTTGATATTAATGCTCTTGCATGTGGCCCCAGTAAAGTCTTCGGGCCCCGGTTTCATCCACCTTTTTTTTAGGGCTTTCCCAAGTGAAGTATAACTGGTTCTTACTGATGCATGTCTGCTGGGGCTGGGGTGCCCAACTGCATCTGTGGGAGCCCTTTGTTTCAGATATCATAGTCTGACAGTGTTGTCAGTTTGCAGGGAGCAGCCCAGGTAGGGCAGGAGACAGACAGGACTGGAGACAGAAGCTGGGAGTGGAGGAGTTCGCTGCTTACAGAGCTGCAGCTGTCATAAAACAAATTTTATTTTTTGTCTCGTTTGCAGTGTGATGCAAAGCATCTACATGTGTCTGTTAATGCTAAACAACTTCTGTCCTGAAGAATTCTGTAAAGCCGCTATGCCTCAGATAATGAGATGACACTGTGAAAAGCCATGTTATTGTTCTGGAGAAAGAGTCTGCTGTTTATGACTGCTTTGAGAAGCATCAGGTCTTAGAGTGGAATTATCCTGTGGTTTTTTTAGACCACTTACTTGCAATTTTATGCAATGAGTTCAGTAGCTACTTCATGTCATGCCTTTGTGCCAAGCCAGCTGTTGTAAAGAAGTAATATAAAACAGAAGCTAATTGGGGTCAGAGCAGGAGTCTAAACTATCTTCACTGGTTTTGCTAGAAATAAATTGTTTTGTTTATTAACAGGATTAAAACTGTTCTTTTATCTAAACCATGAAGTTTTTATGAACTGCTATTTCAATTTGGGACAGAAAAAGAAGGCTATCTTGCAGTGGTGGCAGGGGGCATCAACAGCTTTTTGGTTGGGATTTTTGTTTGCTTTTTCATAGAGAGTATTACAGGAGACACCTAGACAAAGAGAAACATCTCTATGTATAATTATTCTGTGTATTTCAAGATATATTTCAGTTCCTCCAAAGTACTCAATGGATTTAATAAATAAATAAATAAGCTCTTCCCTGAAAAGAAGCATGAAGTGATGTCTGCAGGCTTATAAGACTCTCTAGGAAAGAGTAAGTTTGTAAGTGCTGTGTTTGAGTTGCAATGAATTAATTGCCAAAACAGTGTTGTTACTTCATGTTCAGAAAAGAAGACTTTGGGTTTCCAGGGCTTCCTCTATTGTTATCCTGATGAGACACCTAGGAAAACTTGCTTCTTTTGTTTTTGTGCCCCAGTTTCCATACTTGTAAAATAAAATAATACAGTCCTGAGAAAAAACACCTATGTGATATGTGCTAAAAGTTGAGCTGTAACAGTTTGCTGCTTGACCATAGCTCACAGCAGATTTGCTCAATGTTCTTCTCCAAGTCTTGGTTTAGACACCAAATGCGTTATTGCTGAATACTTAGAAAAATAATAATTCCAGGTTTGCTTCCTAGGTTTCTTTCTTTGTAGTCTTCTTTCAGATGACTTTCTTTATTTTAACCTTACAGTAGATCTCACTTCACATGCATGCTCCATCACTGTCCAACTTCCCTCTTTGCTAGGTGATGTAATGGAGGGTGTCACAGGAGAAGAGCAGTTTGTCCTGAGTGCATGTTGGAGTTGGAATAACAGTCCATAAGAGGACACAAACTCATTTGCTTTCCTTCTCTCCCACATGCTTGCACCAGTCCACGAGAGATTCGGGAGCTCTGGGCTCGGCTACGAAAAGAGCGTCCGGAGCTGTTATCCAATTTTGAAGAGTTTCTGTTGCGTGTTTCATCATACATAAGGGAGGTGAATCATGAGAAGGAATCTATGGAACAGGCACTGAAGCGGTAAGAACATCATGACCATTTGCTGTCAGGAACCAGCTGATGCTTGGATGCTGCGTCAAATGCAAGTTGAGGCTGGGTTAGAGGACACAGAGATTTTTCTTGCTTTAATAAAATGACTCTTTACCTTGATCTGGTTCCCACAGGTTTGTTTTGCATCAGTGTCCACTCATAACATTTGGTCTGGTTGAAATCCTACTCAATGCTACACAGCTGTTAGTGGGAATCTGTTCCCACCCTCCTCTCCTGTTTTCTTTCTGTATTCTTTTTCTCTCTCCTGACCTGTGGGCCCCATACCTTTTGTAGGAAGGAGACAGACCATGACCGAGAAGTCAGGTGCCTTTATGAAGAAATGGAGCAACAGATCAAAGCAGAAAGGGAGAGGCTGATCTGCCAGGTACCTCATCTCTCTTGGCTGAAGTCAAACTTTCTCTGTTCTGAAGCAGACGTGATGGCCTATTTGGCCAAGAACAACTCTTACTGTGCTGGTTGTTGTATGCACAGCTGTATCTTTACGTCTGCAGGAAGCACTGAGACATGACAGGAGTAACCTGCTCCAGAAGGAACTGCACAGCAAAGAGCAGGAGCTGGAGAAAATCCTTTACTGCCAAAAGAAGGTAACAAGACCTAAATCCTTTCTAAAGAAGCACATCCCCTTCTGCTATCTTCCTGCTAAGGTCTCTCCTGACTGAGAATGGTTTTCATCTGCTGAGGGTTTGTACAAGCTAAACTGCTGCTAGCTAGTCTAGTTCTCTCTGTCTCTGAAGGAGGAGTTGAAGTCGTTTGTCAAGTGATTGGTTTGTCCTCTACTGTAATGTCTTAGCGTGAATGTTTTGATCACACGTTTTCTTATCTGCTTTGTTTTCTCTTGACACAATCCTCCTGTCAGTTGTGCAATAACCATTTGGCAAGGAAGACAGGGTTTTTACACATACATTTGGAAGTTATGAGTTTGGAGCCTTTTGTGGTGAGTAAGAAAGTTGTGTATGGATATACAAGAGCCAAATTTCTCTAGTTTGTGTTTTCTGTCTGCTCCAGAATACACCAGAGTGAACAGTTCTGTGATGCTTGAGCTGTATAATACCATATGTTTGCATTGCAGCACCTAATGACTTACTGATTAATCAGTCATGGAGAAGATCAAAGCAGAAACTTCCCTTTATCCATTCCTGGCATGGATACTTGTATGGGATGGTCCATTCTGGAGGTCTTTCTCCTTTTGGTCTGAAGAACTAAGACATGACCCCCACAAAAACAAGTCATGGGAGGTACCTGTAAGATGCTGGTGACTGGGGGTTTCCAAGTTGGATACCTAGCTGTGATGTGGATGAAATGGCACTTCTCTGAAATAATCAACTCACTGTGTAGCAGCTGGAAAAGCCAGCAAAACTTAAGTGCCATCAGGAAAGACAATGAGAATAAGATAGAGGCCAGAATTTTCCTGCTACCTACACCCTTGATGTACCTCATTTGGTATGTGCAGTTCTAGTTTCCTCTGGCTCCATTGTGTCCTTCTTGAGTATGAAGGTACAGAGAACTAATATGAATAAGGAAATGGGCATCTGCATTAGGAAGAGAAAGTAGGAAAGCTTAGACTTGATTTTGAAGAGGAGACTGGGGGAAGATATGAGTGAACTTTATAGACTTGGGAAGGTGGTGGATAAGGTTCATATAGAACTGTTACTTCCTAAATCCTGCAATAGGGGAGGTTAGGGACACTCAGTGAGATTAATACGAATTTGATTTAGAAGAACATATTTCTTTACACAGAGATTGGTGCTGGATTTTTTTTCCACAGGATGCAGGCAATGTCAGCATTTAAAAAAGAATGGACAAAAAATATGGAGAACAGGCTCATAAGTATTCATCAAAAGAAGGAACAGTCATGGATGTGGCCTCTAATGTCCCCAGTCCAGGGACCATAGATGCTGGGGCTGTATCAGGAGGAATGGGTCTTAGGCATGCTCTTCCTAGGTAGCACCTCTTCTTGCTATGGGTCAAGGCAGAGTACTAGGCTACTAGACTACAGTCTTATTAGAATGGTCATTTCTGATTCTCTTAACTCTGAGACTTTCACTAAGCTATGCAGATAATCAGGTTCCTCTTGTGGCGTAAGACCAGTACTGTGATCGTGCTGCTCCACAGTATCGCTTCCAAGTACAGACAACATAAACGGGAGGCTCATGTGTAATAGAGGTTTCTTGGGGAGGAGCAGGTGTGCTTTACTTAAAACCTGTCCCCTGGCTTATTGAAAGATCCAAAGGCTTTGGGCAGGGGTTGCTGTTTCTTAGTCTCAACTTCACTGCCCATCGTTATGTGGTCATGTTGATGTCCAAAGGACTGGAAGTCTTTAGGCAAAGATGGGTGCAACTTATGCTTGTAGCCTCAGTGGGGAGAGATGTGGGGCTTGTGTTTCAAGGAACCTAGGAAATGTCAGCTTGGTTCACTCCTGCTCACAACCATTGTATCTGTGTGCTGGCAGAGAGCAGAAAGCAAGAAAAAAGCACTTTATTTTGTGCTACAGTGTGCTGCTTCACTTTCCCTTTGAGAGGGGGAGAAGGTACACTGAGAGAAAAAGCAAGTTGGAGGTATAAACGTGGAGGCTGACTCTGCCACCTACTACACTGGTCAGAACTGGTGCCTGGTGTTTCTCTCTGTTTGCAAGCATGGGCTGTATAATTTTATTTTGGGAATTTGTAAATTCTTGGATGGGTACCACCATTTCTGCATAGCACCAGCTTCAGCAGATGGCCCTGGTTAGCTGGTGTGGCTGAATTGCCAGTATGATTCTTCTTGTGATGCCCTACTTGTCATATGAGATGGATGGGTTTGGCTGCTGCATGGCTTTGACTCTTTCCCAGACTATGCCAGTCATTTGTGAGGAGTCACATCACTGGTTGAGTACATTACAACAGGCTTTGAACTTCCCAAATCAGGCTTGTTAGTTGTGCTAGGGTCTTGTGCTGCCTAGAGTGTAGCTGTGCCACAGTGGCATTTAAACAATATCTCTAGGCAAAGGGCCTGTGTCCAGCCACCCAATCACTTGACTTTCCAGGTGTAGTGTGAGCTATGCCTGGCACCTCAATGTATCCCCCTTTCAGCTGCGATGGGCTCAGGAAGGCCCCAAACAGTTCAGCAGCTGTGCTTAACAAGTCCTGATGGATACACCCCTTCTTCCACCCAAAATTTCCCAGTCTTCCTTTGACCCTTATTTGTACTCTGATTTCTACAGTGCCTGACAGAAGAAGCTTCTCATACTGCCTGAAGCACTTCCTCTGCTATGCTTAATAATTGCATTGCTTGCTCCCCAGGGCTGGCATGATGAGAAATAATTGCTTCCAATTCACCCTCTCAATGCCACTGGTGGTCCTGTAGACCTAAGTTGTGTTTACCTCCCTTCTGCCTCATTAGTTACATCTGCTTTTTCAGCCAGTTTTTACTGGCATGATGGTAGCACAAAAACCCTGTGTTTAAGCAGCCGTTCTCCCATTGCAGCTGGAACATCAGCTACAGTCGCTGAACTCAGAGCAGCTGGAGACCCGTGTGCAGAATGAAAGGCTCCGGCACCTGAATGAAAACCTGCTGGAAGAGCTGGAGAAAAGCAAATGGGAGCTGGAGGCAGTGAAGGGGCAATTACAGAAGCTCCAGAAAGAGGCTCAGCTTGAGCAAGAGCAGAAGGACAGGTAAGAATGGGCAGGGAAGGGGGTGTCAGGACAGGAACTCAGGGAAAGAACGAAGGGTGTGCAAGTAGTTAAAGAATAAGGATCTCTAATTAGAGGCCTTGGCCTCATCAGAGGATTTCCTGTTTCTTCTTGAGGAAAAGTAGTAACATCCCAGTGGTCTTATGGGCCTCAAGAGGGAGTGATAGTGCTAACTCCCACCTGCCTATAGCGGGAGATGATTATGTTTATTACTATTTGGCTAGTAAAGCAGTGTAAAAAATACAGATGATCATCAACCTAAAGGAGGCTTCTCCTCCATGTATTTTCTAGTTCATTATTGCCTCCATAAAGTTCCTACAGATCCTCTTCTCATCAGTTGTGTTCCTGTTTCTGGGCTTAATCTAACAATGGGTAGCTAAACACTGGGCTGTTTCAGATCCAGATGGTAGTAAGCATCCTTCCCATCTCCAGCAGCTGAGGAAACTGGAGTGTGAAAAGAGAGCAGGAGGGCTAGCATACAACCCAGCCATCCCAGCTTCCACAGCAGTGCTGCTTCCTCTGAACCCTCCTAGCATAGGGCAGGCCCTTATCTTTAAGAATATCCCACCAGTGTCTCCAAGAAAGAGATCTTTGTATTTCCTCTCCCATTATCTTACTTCCCCTTTTATAATCCTCTTTGTCCTAGGGATGTGTTTAGAGTCTCCAAGAACATGCAGAAAGAGAAACAAAGCCTCCTTCGGCAGCTGGAGCTCCTCAGGTAAGAACAGGGCTGGGGGAAAATGCTGAGCCCTTGTGTGTGCAAGGGGCTGAACTTTCAGCACTGTGTTTGTTTCTCCCACAGAAAGCTATGTAAGTGTATTCAAGCAGTGCTCAGACACTGCTTGTTTTTCTAGGTCCAGAGTTGCACAATCTGGCCAGTTCTGGCATACTACAGGCTGTGTAATCCCTCCACTGGAGAAGTTTAGTCTTTCCTGATGGCTAAGGGACTATGTGGAGCCTATTACCTGAGCTGAGATACATGGAAAATCCAGTATGTCAGGCAGTAAATAACATCTGTGTTTGTTTCCCAAGTTTCCTTTCTGTTCTTGCTTTCAAATGTTGGTCTTTACTCCATTGCTGATGAGTGCTTCATTGTGTCTCTCCTGTGTCTTCCTTTGGAGCAGAGAGATGAACAAGAAACTTCGAGATGAGCGAGATGCTTTTGAAGCCAAGAAGCTGGTTAGTCTAAGAACGAAAACCCTAATTCCCAACCACCCTCCTTTCACCTGCTGCTGTTGCTTTCACCACTCAGGGGCCTGTCATTTCCACGGGGGACAATGACCTGAGCTCAACTTTGCAGCACCTCTCTGAGGGTGCTAGGGACAAGCTCTGCAGGTTGCTCTTGCAAACCACCCGGGTTTAACCCAAGGTGTATTAGCTTGTGACTGTCACACAGCCCCGTGCAGGGCTGCAGTGGGTGCTGCCTGCTGCACACAGGGGGTCTGTATGTTGTAACAGCATGGGGCATATGCAAGAAGGGGAGTGAAGCTGGATGCATCCCTGGACCTGAATGGTGAAGAAGATTATGGATTCCCATATGTGCTGCCAGCTGACTAGGGGTAGAGGAGCACGGGAAGGTTTTAGAGTTTCTGTGACCCCTTGAGGTAGTAACAGATGTTTGCAGATGTTTCTCTGGGGCAGCTCCCCATTCCTATGAACTCTGCTGGGGTGGAGGTGCAGCAGTAAGCCTTGTGTCAGAGGGCTAGGAGAAAGTGGGGGGCCTCTAACATCTGGAACAGTCAACTCCATCTCTGGTCTTTCCCAGTCTCCAAGATAAATATGAATATGTCATCTATTTTAATTCTTTTTTTTTATGAAAAAGTCTCTGTGTTCCCAAATGTCTCTGACAAGGCTGCCCTGTGCTCTTTTTGGACCCATTCCTGCCACCATGTGTCTTTTCCTGCTCTGCCACCATGCCCCACTTGAAGATCTGGAAGTGTCTTGCAGTGAGGACAGGCAGTGGTAGGCTGTGAGATACTTTCTGGTTGGTGTGTAAAGAAACATTTAAGGAAGCACAGGGATTGTGCCCAGATAAGGGACAAGATGTCCTGCTGGGGGGGATGCTGGAGTTCTTCTCCAAGTGAAGCAGCAGCTATATAAAATAATTTCAGTAACTGTTTTGGATGGGGGGGGTATGGGGGGGGTGCCTTTGTGTGTGTTTCTGAAATCTGAAAGATTATTTTTTCTTTATTTTTTTTTCTTTATTTTTTAAGCTGCTAAATATGTGTATGTACACCAGGGCTTCCTGCTTCCTCTTGGAGAAGTAATAAACACAGTCACTGTGTAGCAGAATCCAGTGCAAGCAGGCAACGAAAATAGTTTGTTCTCCTCTTCCCATGCATACTGCTTCATCAGCTTCTGGGTTCCTGTGGGTGGGGTGGGCGGCCCATGGAGACCACAGCTGAGGTATGTACCTCTGTGTATGCAAAGCTTGTCTGCTCCTCCTCTGTTCTCCTCTCTTTTTCATCTGCTAGGACCTGCTCAGGCCTGCTCTGAAACATAACAGTTGCAAGGAGACCTAAGAGGGAGCCTAGCAGGGAGAGTCTGGGTACAAAGGAGCTGCTTTCTCCCTGTGCTGATAGTAGGGATGGGCAGCAGGGTGAACTCCTCCTACCACCATTGCTCATCTGGCAAGGCTGTGTTGTGCTGGGCAGATGAAGTCTGTTTTTTTTCTTTATCAGCCAGGACTATCTTGTTGGCCACTCTCGTTTCAGTCCGCAAGAAAACAGGACTCCAAGGGATTACAGAGATGCTGCTATTGCCATACACCTGCAGAAGATCTGCTGTCCAGGCTGTCCCACTGCAAGGGGGCAAGAAAACAGCAGTAGTTCCCTACAGCAGCAAAAAGGAGACTCCAGATTTCTGATGGAGTGTGTGGCACACTCTTTGCCAGAGCCTATTAATGTTTTTACTGGCTAAAAAGAAACCCAAGGCCTTAATTCCCTCTGTTAGTGCTGGGAGGAGTTGTGTTATTTCTGTGAAATGAAGGTGTGATGAACAGCGGTTCATTTATAGAAAAGATTTTGAAGTGGTTGCATGTCTGAGTTGGGCTATATACGAGGCTGACAGTAACCCAGTCACTGCTCCTTTGCACTTCTCAGTGTCCAGCTTAATACCTTGCTCTTCGTAAGAGTTTCTGGCCTTGCCAGGGTAGGCAGACCCTGGCCCCACAGCACCATGGGGCACTGTTTTGCCCCAGTGGCTAGGTCACAGGTAGCAATGTGTGGCTATTTAGGTCTGTGTACAAACCACTGTGGGGTTCAGTTTCACAGCTGTGACCCATCTGGCTATGGAGTTATGCTTGCATGCTCCATGTGACAGAACAAATTTCATGTCTACTCATCATGAAGAGTGTTTTGGGACTTTGACTATATTGGACACATATTTGTATTTCACTGATAAACCAGAATCTTTCCCATACAAATGCTTGTACACGTGCTGTTGTTGGGGAATCCTTGCCCTCGTGTGTTGTACAGCTGTGATGTCATGTCTGTCTCCTTACCATTCTGGCAAAAAGCCACGTGTTACACAAACCTGGCAGGCCAATAAAGCATGGCAGAACCAATGCAAAACATGCCCCATTGTTTCTCCTTTCTTACCCAGGTACGTACTCCGCAGGCTGTTTCCTCTTCAAGTAGTGTCATGCCATAGCAGATTGCCTGGGATCCCCTTTGCTCCACAGGTGACTTGAAGGCTCTGACTTGGCTCCAGGGGGCTGTAACACAAGTTCCTTGTTTCTGTGTGTCTAGAGGATGCCCCTGAGTGAACATGCTCAAACTCTTTCAGGGGTTCCTCCTCCATCCACACTGGTTGGCTGAACCATAGCCTGATACTAGTGTGACTCCCAAGTGCAGTCTCTCTGCACTTGGGAGTCCTCTGTCTTGGAGGATACATATTCCACATTTGTAACTCTCCATGCTGGTTGGTTGTGTAGCTGGAACTTCTCCTGAACATCACTTTTATGTGTAAAAAACATTTGGAACTTTTCCCCTCAAAATTCCTGGTTGGTTGAGGCCCTCTGTGCAGTCCAGAATGTCTCCTTTTGTTGGCCTGCATTGTGGTAAAGGTGTTCTGGGAGTTTTGGCCAGCAGAGCAGCTTCTTAATCTTTTGCTTTTTAAGATAAGCCAGGGGTTATTGAAGAAATAATCTTCGTAGTCCTCCCCCAGGCTGCGAGCAGCCCAAAGTCCTGCCTGTCCAAAGCTGCCTGCAGGTGTTTGGTCAGTTCAAAACTGCTACCAGAGGCAGATCTGGCAGGCTGCAAACTCTTCTTTCACCATTACCCCCAGAAATAACTTGTGAGGACTTGTCAGAAATCTCCAGACTTACAGAGCAAGTACATCTTCCTTTCCCCCAGTGCTGAGGTGATGCCACGCTGTCTCTCACTTTGTGTTCAGTGTGTGTAGCCAGAGCAGTTACCCAGTCTGTTTGGGACTGAACGGGAGGTTAGGCTTTAGCATAGCCTTTGGAGGAGATGGCAGGTCAATCCTCTCTCTGCCACATGCTTTCTGTGTGATCTCAGGCAAGATCTTCATCTTTGACTCTGATGGGGATGACAAATCTGCTGTATAGGGGGAAGATGGTTGCAAGAGGAGCTGTCCTGCTTTCTCCTTCTCTGGGGAGCTGGTAAACACTGGCTGCAGGAAGTGTGTAGTCCTGCAGCCTGGAGAGGAACGTTAGTGTATGGCAGAGTATGTGCATTGCCCTTTACAGAGTGGTCTTCCTTTCCTATGGTGCACGTGCAGCTCTGGGTGAGTACTGATGGAGAAGGGGTACTTAGTGCCTTCTGAGGAAGGGGCAATTGGTGGGTCCCACAAAACATCAGCATAATAGAAAGGCAGGAGGGGAAATAAAAGATTCAGGTGTGAGACAAAGTGGAGAACAAGCCACAGAAACAAAAGCTCTGGCTGGAGTTCGGTTTGGGGCACCATTGTTTTTGATGGATTTTGTTGCAAAGGGGAAAGCAGCGACAGTGTAACGCCTTCTTGCATGAGTTACATGAGCTGAACTGAGAAAGGCAAGCCCTGTGCTCGCCTCTGTTCAAGCCTGCTGGCAGGGCACTACCACTGAATGGTGTAGGGCTACAAGGACTCCAGCTCCACCTCCCTGAAGTGGCCTGCAGAGGTGGCAAGTGGTTAACTGGCGTTTATCAGGTTCTTGGGTCCTAATCACATTCTTCATCCCTTTTCTTTTCACCTTCCAGGCACCTCAGAGCAAAAAGCCCCTGTTGAAGAAAGGGTCAGTGGTAGGCAGTTACCTGCTGGACGACAAGCCGGTCAAACGGTTAGATGGCATTTGTGTTGTGTTTGTGGTGTCAGTCTGTGCCTGCTGGAGTACCCTGTCAGTCAAGCTGTGTCCTGTGTCAAGTTCTCCCACCTTGGTGCTGGCTGGTTTGGGGAGCATGGGGGGGTGCATCTCGACTGTGGCTGTAGCTCCCTCTTGGCATCAGGTGGTGGTGGCTCAGCATGAAGCTGAGGATGCTGTTAACTAATTTCTATGGGGGGTGGGAGGGTGGCCCCCCTCTGGGCTGCTTCTATATGCAGCAATGGGGGAGCAAACCTAAGTGCCATCAGAAGCTATGGGAGTGTGCATGGGATGGAAGTCACAAAGGCTGCCTCTCACTGAATCAGGCTGGATTGTCTCCGAAGTGTGCCAGTTCCTTCCCAGGCAGAAATCCTGTCCACTGGCACCTTATGCCAGAGCCCATATCCCCCGGGGCATGAGAGAGGGCAGGAGTTGCACAAGACTTGTGTTCTCTCTGGCAGCTGAAAGCCTTGAGGAAAGGGCCCAGCTCCAGGTGGGTTCATTCTGCCCATCTCCCTCCACACCTATGCAGATGCTCACCTGGCACACCAGGTCTCTGCAAAAGGTTCCACTGCTTCCCAGTTTCTGTTGGTACAAACCAGAGACATAGGTCTAGGCTGAGTTTCTTCGAGTTTTGACTCACCCTTAATACTTGCAAATCTGGTAATGGCATTTAGGAATTAAGTTTCAGGGTCCTGGGCTTGTGGATTGATGGAAAACCAGGTGCACTGTGGAGCAGGGCTGATTCTTGAGCCCAGCTGGGAAGCTGGATAGCTCTGAGGCAGAGGTCTTCCATGGCTGTGTGACTGGCAGATACGCTGTCCATGGGATCAGATAATCAAGTTCTCCCATCTTCTTCCCCAGCTATTTCTTGCAAAAAATGTTTCTAGCTGCTGCTGGCATAAACCCACCAGAAAGACTTAACAGGTAGAGAAGTCCAACAGTGAGGGTGATGTGAGAGGGGGGAAGCATTTGTTAGTTCCATCTCTGTCCAAGTGCTGTGTCACACCACATCGCTTGAGAAACATGGGTAAAATCCATTAGATCTGGAGTTACTGTTCAGAAAGTTTTGTGTTTGTCACTTTTTTCCCTCCCTGAAGAAGAGGCTTCTGAGTCTCAGCCCCTCATTGTTGTGATTCCTTCCAGCCCTGGGAGATGGGTCTTTTCCCCAGATCCTGAGCCTGGGAGGATGTGTCTATTTGCAACAAGAGCAGTTCCAGTTGGCCTGGCTCTGGGCTGGCATGTGGGACAGATGTAGGGAGGACATCCCAGAGCATGAGCTACCTGTCATGGAAAAAGTGCAGGCATGGCAGCAAGTGAATTTTGCAGTCCTGGTGAGGTGTACTCGTAGCAGTGAGGGAAGAGAGTCATTGCCTTGATTTCTGCACTAGTAGCAAGATAAAAATGTTGCGGAGAGACGGGATGTGCTGCCTCTGAAGAGACTGACTGTAGTAGCCTCTGGTCTCTCTAATTTGCTTCCAAATGCAATCTGTTGGCCCCTTAAGGCAACAGAGGGTGGATAAAGCCCTTCAATTGAGTCCTAAGCCTTCTCACTCCCTTTGTCTTGTTCTTGAACCGTGGAAAGCCAAGGCAGAGCTAAGATGCTGCCTTGCTCCTCAGCAGTGATTCCAGTAGTTTAAATTGGTTATTCCAGCTGCTTTTTTGGAAGATTGTTCACTGGGGGTAGAGCTGATGTGGTAAGTGAAGGAACAAAGTGCATCAGCCTGCTCTTGTGCTGCACAGTCAGTGCACCTGTTTCCTTGCTGCCACAGCTTGGGCAGGGGTCCTGGGAATTTCTTGCTGTTGAGAGCACAGTGGGGCTGGTTCGTGGAAGCATCAAAAGATAATCATCTTTCATGTCCAGGCTCTCTTACCTCGGCCAGGTGTGGATACAGGCCGGAGCAGAGCCAGTGCCAGGCAAAGTGACCCTGGTGTGAGCACGTTTACTGCAATTTGCAAGCCTGTGGCAGGCTTCTGCTGCCTGAACTCAGGACTCCGCTGCCGCAGTGCTTGGGAGTGAAGGGCTGGTTTCCTGAAGCATGGCTGTGTGCGTTCAGCAGAGGGCAGTACCATGTCTGCACACTGCATGCAGCCTCCCAAGGGTGGTCAGCCCTTTTCACTAACCTCAAAACCTTTGTTAGTTCTTTTTGTGTTGTATTGGATACAAAAAATAGAGGAGGTGTTGTTGCTTCTTTAAGAAAGAAAAAAAAAGTTTTTCCTTTTGCCACCTTTGTGTGCTTTGCCTTATTTTTTCAGTACTGGGAGGAGTGGGAGGCAAAGGAAGCTTGAAAAATCCAGAAGGTCGGAATTTTTATTCAAATTAATAAACTATATGAATACAGCACAGCTCAGGTGAGCTGCCTCTCTTTCCCTATGGGGTGCTGTTGATGCCTTAGTCACAGGGAGTATGGGAGTGTACATATTAAGTAGAGTTCCTGCAGCTGCTGCATATGCACTAATTGGATTGCATTGGTTGTTTTGGGAATGTGCAACCTCCTCCTCTTCCCCTCACCCCCTCCCCTCCCACCCTATTGTGGTGCCTGTGGTCTTTAATACAGACAACTGGCCTCTGAGGACCCTCCTTTCACCTTCCCGGTGGATGTGGCAGTGGAAGAACCCAACAGAAAGAACTGTAAATACTTCCCAGGCAACAGGATGTGGTTGAAAACAGGAGAAGGAGGCAGCACAAACTTTGGAGAGAACAGCAGAGACAAGGAGAGATGGTCACTGGCAGCAGATGTTGAGTGGCTCAAGATGACTTTGAAGGGTGATGCTGACTGTCGAAAACACGCAGATGGATTAGATGATGCTCCCTTGCCTCCTAGAGAACAGCCTGTTGGCACCGAAACCAGGGTGAGTAATTACTTGGGTTGTTCCTCAGATACCTGCCATCAGGGACTTCGGGTCTTTCTGACTCTCATCCCATCTAACTTCAGCTCCATGGATTTGTAGTGGAGGGGTCCAATGCCTAAATCAAAGCACAGTCTGTAGCCAGGCTTTTCAAAACTGCATCCCTTTCTTCCATTGTAGCTCCAGGCACGGGAAGCAGCTAGCTGTTCCCCAGACCGCATCTTTAAAGTGGTGTTTGTAGGGAATTCCGGTGTTGGGAAGAGTTCCTTCATCCACCGTTTCTGCTATGACAGGTTTTTGCCTGAACTCAATGCAACCATTGGTAAGTACTAGTGTTCCTGACTCATCTGGCTAAGAAGGGTGGAAAGGTCAGCTGGACACGTGTGTTTTGCCTGTAATTTATCCCACCTAAAGGTAAAGGTGATCCCTTTCCTAATTTCAAATAAATCTTGCAATATCCCTTAACTAAATAGCATTGAGCTTGGACATTGCAATGGCAAGCTGCTCTCTCCCCATCCCATCTTATGATCATTGCTATCTCCTTGACAGGGATCGATTACCAGGTGAAGAGTCTGGTGGTGGATAATACCCAGGTTGCCCTACAGCTGTGGGATACAGCTGGACAAGAAAGGTAAGCAATTTCTGTGAGGCTGCCCTACTGCCAGGCTCAGTGCAGGAAACAGGAGGAAGGAGTGCATGCACTTCTTCTGTTTCTGGGAAAATTGTTAGCTTGAGAAGGACCAGAGAGGTTGCAGCAGATATTCCAGTGATGAACCTGCAGCAAAGGTCTCTTTCAGAGATTTCTAGAAGCTGTAGCTTCTGGGGCCTGGGGAGATTGCCCTAAGGACTGATGGAGAAGTACTTTTCCATAAGTCTGACCTGCATGTTGTGGCTTTGGGCAGTCTATCATAAATCATGGTATGGTGTGAGGTTCAAAGCCCCTCTAGCCCTCAAAGCTCTTCTGCATCAGCCTGCTTTTGGAAAAGCTGTAGGAAAGGGCTGCAGATGAGGACAGAAAAGAAGGCTCTGGATAGACATCCTATTCTCAGATTCAGTTGTACTCCTGCTGTCTCCAGCTGCTCACCACCACTTGCTATTCAGAGGGTGGAAAGAAGTGCATGAAACTTTCCAGGTCTGATTCAGACAAAGCCAGCTTGACCTGTGGGGAAGGTGACTTGAACTACCCTGCTGTACTCTGTCACTGAGGTTACTGGCACCTTCCACTGCCCCTTCTGCTGAAAGACTGGTGGAAGTAATAATCCTTGGTGGAGGGACAGCTTGGCTTTTTGTGACAGTGAATGCAGGTTCCCCATTTGAAGGCCTCTAGTTTCAAAAGCAAAGGCCATCATTAGGTGTTATCAGCACTGTTGGTGAGGGCCAGAGTAGTGAAGAGCAAAGTAGTAAAGGACGCACTTGACCCTTATCTGCTATCAGAGATGAAGGCCCACCACTACCTTCATGTAAATTAGAATTTATTTAGGCTGAAGATGAAAAGCTATTTCAAGGGGGCCATTAACCTCAAGAGCCTGGCAAAAATAAGTACTGGATATTTGGGGCTAAATTTGTTATGTGGGCAGGCCTTCAGGAGCCAGCTAAGGTCATGGGAATATTATAACCTTAAACTGTGCCAACAGAGTAATGATGCTGTCAGCTAGACCATGCAGACCTGGTGGGAATGTACTGAGAATCTGCTGAAAAGCAAACATTTCTTCCAAAATCAAGCTTCATGCTAAAGAAATTATTTTTGAAATAATGTGGTTATTTCAGTGCTGAAGCTGAGCAGTAAGGGGAGTTGTTAAAACTTGAAATGTGACATTTTACTGAGGCCAGACTGTATCAGAGGCCGAATTCAAGATATTGCCCCTGCAGAAGGACCTTTAGTGTAGGCCCCTGCAGCATTAGCAGGTCTTAGACATGTACTTGCAAGACATGGCTCACTGCTGATGCTGAGTAGGAGACCTGAGAAAGAAGCAAAAGGCTTTCTTATTTCTAGAGAAATACCAATTACTTCCAACTGGAAGTGTCCAAATACGAATATCCTGTGGAAGAAACAGAGGAACTCCTTGAAGCATGCAAGGTGAACTCTTTGGTGACTTCCCTAGGACCACTGCATGCTACATTTGATGTTTCTTCTAGAGTACCTAGCCTGTCCTGTAGCTCCAGAGGTGCACCTTGCCTGCCAAAGATAGAGCCTGTGCTTTCTCAGTTGGGTAGTTGTCAGAATGTTATTGTAGTGAGAAAGAACAGGCTTCAGGTAATCATCTGAAGAGTTCAGGAGGGTCACTACTTGCTGTAGGTCTTCTTGGCTCTTAACAGAATAGGACAGCTTGTTATCCCATGCACGGCTGAAATACAGAGCTCTTCAGTGGGATCTCAGTACTTGTGTGGCATTTAATCCCACCAGTTTGCAATCAGTGTGATTATATCGTGGCCCTGTCACAAGCTGCTTACAAATTTTAAGGTTTGAGGGTGGTTTTTGGTAGGCTGTTTCTGGGATTCTTTACATTTATTCCCAAAATACAAGTCTGTGGTTCTCATTGGTACCCATGGGTCAAAGCAGATGTCTGGGAACTTCTCCTGGAAATTGTGTCTAACTGCTGATTTTAAGTATGATGGCATTGCTTTATAGATTCAAAACTGGAAACAGACTGTATTGATATTGAGATCTTAATTGCTGTTTTGGCAGCACCAAGGCAGACATTATGCACATCTAGTTTATACTGTAGTGCAGCTTAGTCTGCAGATTCTTCCAGACTCTAGAGAAAGGTCTTGTTTTTTTTCTCCATCTATTTCCCTTTTCATAGGCAATTACCTCTTCCTGTCCCACCTAAGCAAATTCTTGTTTCTTTCCTTCTGACCTGCAAAGGTCTTCCTTCCTGCTTTCTCAGCACCATACATTTGGAAAGATTCCTGCCTTACCCATGGCTGCCCAGCATGCCTCAGAGGTGCAAGGATCTGGCCTGTCTGTCACCAGTCTGCACACATCAGCCCCAGGGTGTACATCTCACACACAGGGTCTGCCGGGCCTTGCAGAGAGCATGCACTAAATGACAGTCCCATCCTGTTTCTTTTCATTAATTACACAGCCCTGGTTTTGAGGGTGCCTTTGGTTTTGTTTGGGCTCAGGTTTCGGAGCATTACCAAGCAGTATTTCCGGAAGGCGGATGGGATTCTGGTGATGTACGACATTACAGCCGAGTGCTCCTTCATGGCAGTGCGGAACTGGATGAGCAGTGTCCAGGTGAGAGCAGGGCCTTGGCTTTCTAATGCTGGTGGTGCTGCTGCTGTCTTGCTCCAGACCAGCTCCAACAATATGTCTGGTAGTGATGTCCTCTGATGCCCCAAGAGGTCCTGTTAACCTTGAGAAGAATTATCAAAACACATGTGATGGGTACTGCCTGTGGTAGTCAGTCTGGGACCAGGGTTGTCTTGTTGAAGATAACAAAGCCAGTGACAGTCCCTTAAATGAGAGTGGGCTGTATCTATGGCAGAAGGTGGTGGGATTGGCCAAAACAGTAGTGTGTGTTGGTAAGCAGCCCATGTGTATTGGCAGCATCTCCTAAATGTGGTCATGTCAGACCTGTACTCAGGCAAGGAGATCTCCTGGTGTCCAGCTTATTGTCGTGGTTTAAGCCCAGCCGGCAACCCAGAACCACGCAGCCGCTTGCTCACTCGCTCCCTTTCCGGCCCCCACTCCCGGAGGGATGGGGAGGAGAATCAAAAGAATGTAACTCCCATGGGTTAAGAACAGTCCAGTAACTAAGGTATAACACAAAAAAAACTACTGCTACCACCAATAATAATAAAGGAAATAACAAAGGAAGGGAATACAACCGCTCACCACCCACCAACAAACACCCAGCCTGACACAAGCAGTGATCTAGCCCTTCCGGGTAACTGCCCCTAGTTTATATACTGGGCATGACGTGCTGTGTTATGGAATACCTCTTTGGCTAGTTTGGGTCAGGTGTCCTGTCTCTGCTTCCTCCCAGCTTCCCCTCCTCCCTGGCAGAACATGAGACTCACAAAGTCCTTGGTCAGATTAAACATTACTGAGCAACAATAAAAACATCGCTGTTATCAGCATTGTTCCCAGGCTGAAAGTTGAAAACACAGCACTGCACCAAGCTACTAAGAAGAAGACTGCTACTGCTGAACCCAGGACACTTATGCACGGGAAGGGAGAAGGCCCTGATGCGTTTAGGCTCAGACCTGCAGTATGCATGCACAGTGCTTTGCATGATCACATCCTAACTCTGCTTTGAGATGGATTTCTAGATGAGACTGAAATATCAGTGATAGCTTATTTTTCTCCTTCATTTGCTTCAACTTTCAGATTTGATTTATTTTTCCTTTTTTTTTTTAATTTTGTAACTGTGTATTAATACTGCAGTCTTCCCCCCTGCATTTATTTCCAAACTCTTAATAAAAGCATTCATCTGGGGCTTGTATCTGCTTGGGGAGACAAAAATGCCTGTCTGTGTAATTTCAGTAAGTTGTGTGTAGGTGGCTCAGAGCTGAAGGAAAATTGTCAAGGTTGATTTTGTTTTGACTGTGCTGAGTCTCAAAACCCAAGATCTGAGGAAAATGAATAAGCATAAATTGGAGGTTTCTAATATTATTAACATCTGCAGCCCTGCTCAGGAGGTGGGAGGGAATCCCAACAACAATTTAGCAATTTCTTTGGACTCTAAAAGATCAAAGGTTCAGATTTTCAGAACTGCCCAGCCTCTGAAAATCGGGCTCCTTTCAGGAGCACGCAGAAAATCAAGGCACCCCAAATCTGTAACTTTCAGTTATCTCTCTTCCTTTCCCAATCTTAGTAATTATCTTGCTTCAAAGCTGTTCACGTACTGTAAGTCATCCAGGGCAGTCAAGTCTGGACATAACTTCAAGCCCTGTTCTGCAGTCTGATGATGTTCTAGTGAGCCATTGGAGCTAGAGAGTTTTACCAAAGGTAATGGGCTCCAGGAATCCCCTAGGAATAACAGTTCCTGCAGAGACCCTATACAAGACTTGTAGGTTATTCAGCTTACTTGGCCAGTGGATTTTCAGCAAGGGATCCTTGAAATTAGGACAGCACATCAGACAAATAGTACCACATATACCTACAAAAATTACTGGACTTATTAAGAAGCTCTGCCTGAACTTAAAGTCCCAAGAGCCTATGGGAAAAACTGCTTTTCTTTAGGCTTGTTATTTTCCAGAGAGGAACTTATGTCCTATCTCCACTCTCTCAGCATCCCAGCAGTACATAGCAAATATTTGGAATACATTCCCATAGTTTAAGCTTCCTTCCACAAATCCCTGGGGCTATTTGAGGAATGGTCCTTTAATGAGCTAAAGGGCCTTATCCTGCTGCCACTGCAGGTCTTGTTTGCATCAGCTGGAACAGGCACAGATCCAAGACAGTTCCCTCCCTCAGCTGAGTCTGTAGGGTTCTTTAGTCTGTCTCTTTCGCAGGAAGGTATCGAGGATGGAGCTGTGGTCTTTCTGCTTGGAAATAAAACGGATGCTGCGCAGAGAGAGACTTGGAGTGTGCCCAAGATGGAAGGCGAAAGGCTGGCAAAGGTGTGACTGTGTGCTCTGCTGCTCAACATGCTCTGCAGCCTCCCTTCTGCCTGGCTGACAGGAAACCTTTCTTGGAGCCATTTCCCAGTATGGTACCTTACCTCTCCCCTTCCACCCCATTTCTCCAATGTAAACATGTACTGAAGTTCCTCTGGTACCAGGGAGGATGAGGTGGTGCCCACTATGTGGCCCTTGAGGCAGGCTCATGTATCTCTCTTGATGCTTGGTGCCTCCTTACAGTGATGCTCAGTCTTTCTGAGGGGAGTACGCATGGCTGTTTTCCTGTTTGAGGACTCCCCTAATGCATGTTCTGCAAAGTCATCCTCCCTCCTTCCTCACTGCCGGTGTCTGCATGCCCATTGCTACCTTAGCCCCTGGGTGGGAGCAGGCAGGGTTTCAGAGGTGTTCCCCATCTTCTGGACTCCACCACAGAAAGCTAAGGGAACCCAAGACCCTGGGCATATATTTGCTTTCCCCAAATAACCCAGTGTTATTCTCTTCTCCCAGTGTTTCCTTTTGGATACTCTGGCTGGGCCCCCAGTGCTGAAAAAGCATTTCCTTTACCTGGGTTGGTGAGCACTGTGTGTGCCCCAGGAGGGTGGTAATAGCCACCCTCCTGGCCTCAATTGCTCTCAGCCGAGTTCCCGGTGGTGAGCGTGGACCAGCTCCCAGGGCTGGGGGAGAGCTGGTAACCAGCATGGGTGCTTGCTGTGCTCTCTGGCAGGAATACAAGGCTGTCTTCTATGAGTGCAGCGCAATGACTGGCTATAACATCATGGAGCCCATGTTACACATGGCCAGGTCAGTGAACAGCAACGGTCACCCTGTGATATTTCCCCAGCTGTTGGTGAGTGGTGTGGGCTCTCCTGGGGAGTGGGCAAGAAGGTGTTGCCAGACACGTCATAAAAAACACTTGGAGCAATGTGCTCTTCCCCCTGACTTCCATGCCTGGAGAGTGCCAAGTGTAGGCTGGACATCATCACATGCAAAGCTTTGTCTGGCAGAGCTGACTGTTGAAAGATTGGGAATTAAATTTGAGTACTTTATCACAAAACCCATGTGTAGTATCCCAGATTTTAAGTAGGCGTTTTCAGTTTGAAGTCTGCATGCATTTCTGAGGGTTTTTTCTTCCTTATCTTATTAAGCATGTGATATTTTGGTAGCCATATTTTAAAGGGAGATAAGACACTTTGTAAGGCTGAAAGAAGTGTGCTCTAAGATTTTTATTTTTTTTTTTAAAAAGGCAAATAGTTTTGAAAAAGCTCTTTGAAATCTTGCAAGAAATTATCCTTTTGCTTTCTTTTATCCTTTCACCTGCTGCATCATCTCTAAGCTCACAACAGGACTCAGCCGTTCATTAACTGGGATAATTTACTTACAAGCTAGGTAAATCATGTCTCCCACAGTATGTGCCTTCAGCGTGCTTTAGTATGGTACTGCTGCCTGAGATGGCCCACAGAGGTGAAACGAACAGCCAGGGATTCTGTCATTAGCATGGCAGTTTGGGAATAAGGCACAGACCACTCACCCTTGTCTGGTGCTCTGACTACTAAGCCATGCTGTCCCTTCTTGTATGGGTCCAGTTTCTTTCCCTGTTCCCTGGAAATTCATGCTCATTTTCTAGTGTGGTTTATCTAGCCAAACTCCAAGGAAGCCCAGTCTTTGGGCCAGTCACTTTTCACAATCCTAGATGTCCCTGGCTGACTGGGAGCAGTTGCCTTGGCAGGAAGAGCTCAGTAACCAGGTTGTGGTCTTGATCTGTGCTGCTTGTTCCAGATTGCTGACAGCACAAGAAGACAGGCAGAGGGAGAATGCCCTGCAGCTGGAAGATGTCAGCAGGAGGAAAGGGTGCTGCACATAAGGCACATCAGTGTGTCAGCAAGCAACGTGTGCCAACACTGTTTCATGAAGCTGGGGTTCCTTTCAAGCAAGCCAAACCTAATGGTATCAGCTCTGCAGAGACTTGGGGAAGCTGAAACTTTTCCCCATCTGGGAATTTCAAGGCACTAAATGAGACAAAATGTGCAAATGATTTGCACTGTTCCATTTCCCAGCTCTGCATGCAGCCCTGGTCTCTGGAGGCCCCTGCTTCTTTGAGGGAATTTGGCTGGTCTTGGCTAATAGCACAAACTGGGCCTTCTGTCTTGAGAGGCCACTTTCCTGTAAAAGGATGAGGTTTCTTTCCGGCAAAGAAATGACTTAGCAGCAAAGAGTGGAGGACACAGTGGGTGCTGTGTTAAATAGAATTTTAGTGTAAGAGTACAGAAATTACATTAAATTTGGGCTCATTCTAGGTAGTGACCCATCGTCTCAAAGAGCAGCATCTCCTCTTGGTCCTCTTAACAGCAGAGCCCAGCTGAAAGCCTGCTGTGGTAAGCAGGAAAACATCCTCTCCTGTTAAGAGCTGGATCAGCCACTGTACTTACTGCAAAATTTGGTTTGACTGGCCAATATTGTAGTTAACTGAGTCCATATGTGGATATAGTATGAACTGATAAGTGAGTCATCCCAAAGGCTTTCTTCACTTTGTTACCCTAATGGAATGTTACTGCCCCTCTCATACTGTTTACAGAACACACAGCAGTTGCCCTGGGACTCGCAGGCGCTGGCATGTGCTGCTGATTCATAACCTGTTTCAGGAGCTGTGCTGTACATACTGGGGCAGGGTCATATACAGCCTGTTTTAAGGCTTAATGCTGCCGGTTTCCTCCCATTCTCTTACAATTTCCTGAAGAAACCTCCAGCAATTAGGAACTGACTTATCTGAGGTACTGCAAGATCCCACACTTGACCACAGTGCTTTCAAATGTATCGGGGTTGGAAGCACAAGGCAGTTAGATGACTGTGTGAAATGTACCTAGCGAAGCTTTTTCTCTTGCAGTGACTCTGTGCAATAACCTCACTTTCTTGGTGAAGTGCCTGAGAAAGAGCAGAACAAACTGTTCCTGTTGGGAAGGGGCCTTCTAGTCGTTAAGGAGTGGGGCAAAGCAGAGTGAGGGGAGGTGCAGGCTGAGTTAGGAGCTGGCCTCAAGTGTGCACCTCTCAGCATAGCTACCGCATTGCCTGGGCATGAAGCCCCTGGTGTTCTCTGGGGGTGCTGCTTTCTGTTCTGTAGTTCAGTTTCTCTTAAAGCCTTGAGGGATTAAGTGAGCTTTTTTGTAATGCCCTCTTGCCTTCCTTCTTTGAGCCTGTTTCTGATGGTGACTTTGACATTTTAGGTGCAAGATGTGATACTGTAGCTGTCACGCAGCCCCCCCAGCCTTGCAGCATAAGGAAAGCCTATATTTATCCACTGTCTTTCCTCTCTTGGGATAATGTTTGAATGTTCTTCTACTGAACAGATTTCTCTGGGAACATCCCATGCAGGAAAAGTGCTCTGAGTCACCTACAGCTCATCAGTGCTACAAAGAATTTCCATGGTTCCTCCCAGCGCCCATTATTCCTGATAGGAAAGAGGAAGTCCTTCTCCAGAAGAGCAGGACTCCTGACTAAAAGTAATAGCTAAAAGTAATAAGCTCCTGCTCAGCCCCTACTGCCAGCTGGCTGTGTTTCATGCTGTGTTTAACTACAGTAATGCCTTTCAGAGACTGATTATCAGAAAGCTAGAAGAGGTCCAGAAGGAACCAGGGCAGCTGTGCTGCCAGTGGTATTGCTTCTATTTGCAAGAAATTATGTTTGGGAAGGGAAGTCCTCTGTTTTTGGAAAACACCTGTAATCTGAAAATAGACATGACTTTTTGGCTCTACTGTAGCCAATGTGGGTGTACAGGAACACAGCCTTTATCACCTGCTGAATAGGTTAAACCCACTCCCTGAGTTGGGGGATCTCCTGTCAATGATTCCCCCTGCATCATGCTCCAGTTTCAGGTTAATAAGTAGTGGCGCTAACTAAAAAATGGCATCTTTGGTCAGGGCACACCAGTAATGCTAACATTTACCCACCTGCAGCAGAAGGATTTGCGAAGTTGCTGCAGAAGGAAGAGAACAGTACCCAGTCTGTTAACGTGGTCTGAACACACACCTCCCACACTACATAAAGAGCACCTGAAAGACAAAGGTGTGAAATACAGCTGACACACAAATACAGGCCAGGCTGTGTGTTACCTTTGTCATCAGTGCTTTCATATTGCATTGGCAAGAACTACCACATGTTGTGTTTTTTTTCTAATGTACAACCTTAAGGATGTTTTCTTAGTGTGCAAGCAGACTATGGGCAATAAAGAAACGCTGTCTTACAAATAGTTGTGTGGAGAGATTTTTTTCCCAGGCACTGCAGGAGATTCAGCCTCTCTTCAGTTGCTGGTTATGGCATGACCTCCCCTTCTTTCTGCTCAGGAAGTGCTGAGAAGCCTGTCCCTCATGGTGGTACCAGTGGGAGATTTGTAAGCGTTATAAAAACCTAGCCAATCTGTTTTAATTGATTTTTATTATAATTAATATCGAGAGACAATAAGCAAGCAGCACTGGGTGCACCAGGGAGTCTCCACTCTGCCCGAGACGCACACGGGGAACTTCTTGGGATAGTCTCTTATACTTTTTGGCTTCCTGGGCTTCTTCAGCCAATCCTGTTGTTGGGGTCTTGTCTCCGGGTGAAGAAATATGTCTATCACAAGTCTGACTGCCATTTTAGCCCCCATAAATTCCACTCCTTATGTGTTTATTTGTTCAGGACACAGATTTCACAACGTTCTGTAACAGGACATATCTCTAAGTTACCTATCGCCCCCTTTTCTAAGAACATTCATGCAATTTAAACAATGAACAAAACATTTCTTTGCACAATATTGCGGTTGACGCAGGGGAATTATTCCCTTGTTTCTTCTTCCTCCTCACTGTGGTATTGACAGGGACACTTATCATACCCTTTGCGCATAGCACAATGATCACAAGGGATTCCATCTCCACACAAAGTGCAATGATCACTAGGGCCCGAGTTGCTGACACAAATCACTCTGATGTAACTCACATAAGTAGGAAAGAAGAGTGTTGATCAGGAACCCATGTCTTGGAGGCAGCACAGGAGCAATTCTTCTCCAGTCTTATCTTTTTTACCTCTTTCAAGCAGCTAGAATCCAGCTGACCATGGAATACAGAACAGGGAGGAGAAAAAGAGGAGATGTCTATAGTGTTTTCAGAGGGGGCATGCTCTCACCTTGTACTTATTTTTACTGAACTAAACATCTATTTTAATAATGCCCCCTGCAACCTTTTCACTAGAGTTAGGAATCTGGTTGTTTTAAACCCTTGTGTCCTGGAATGGCTCCAGCTGGATGTTTGTGCATTACAGAACTAATTTTTTTTGGTACAGAACAGTTTTTTTTTCTTTTTTTTTTTAGCAGGAATAAGATGGACTCCTGTTTCAACCATGTCAAAGTGACACGGACTTTGAGCAGGTTGCACTTGGGACAACAGTAAGCACCAGGGTGGGTTTCACTGCTAGAGGTTCTGTTGTTATCTCTCTGCACAGTATTTAAATGTCCTGTTGGAAGACTCAGGCACAGCCTAGAGGGGCATGTTGTTAGTTTCTAAACTTGTCTGATACCAGACCCGAACAAGACCAAACTTTCTGTAATACATTCCCCTGTTTTTGCCAGAATCTCTCCTGCCTCTGAATGGAAGCCCTGGGAGCAGCACCCTTTGCTGCTGGAAACTGCAGCATAAACACAAAGCAAACAATGGGGATATCCTGAGGTCGCCTGAGATAAGGGAGGACACAAAATAGACTCTGCTTGGGGGGCTTATTCCTGTGCCTGTTGGCTGCAGTATCTTAATGGACAGGTGACTTTTTGCACACAATTTGTAAGGTATTTTGGTATCACAAGAAAGTTTTCTTCCTATAGCCTGGGAAGCCTTAACTTGGCACATGCAACAGTACAGCTGCGTATACAATCAGATCTAGGGGCAAAGGCAAGCAAACCAGCTGCTCTGATAAGCAGCCACAGTCCCACAAAGCTCTGCAGGCAGGCAAAGGGACCCCACTCTGCCTTGTGTTTCACTTACCTCTTTCATGTTAATGTGCTAAGGATAAGCATAAGAGGATTAGCCTGACAGCACCTCTTTTAAAAGCCAAAAGAGGGCTGAAGAGAGATCATTAAGCCATAGTGTTAAGTTTAAAGCTTTCCCACAGAATAAATGCAGGAATTGCAGAAGTTTGCAATATTGTCATCTTCTGCCGTTTTTATTCCAGCAGCCTGAACTCCAAGGGACAGTTTGCATTTACACACATTCAATCAGTTCCTGCTATGGGGATCATGCAGTCTCTCACACATCGTTTTCAGTCCTGTCACCTTCTTCTGTTTGTATCTATTCATGCTTTTCATTTGTTAATTGCTTAGGGCATATATATATATATATATATATAGACCAAGTACTTTAACTCACAAGTACAAAATGTATCTCATAGCTCATACTATACACCTTTAATTGCTCTGTTTGGAGATCTCCTCAGCACCAACAGACCCACAGTTCCACGGCTGAGAGCTTCACTAGCTCTCTGAGCCTCGTCAGTCTGCTCATTACTTACCTGGCTGCTTATGAGTCACTCAGAAATTTCAGTTGGCGCAGCTACAGCAATCTGGCTCCAGTCTCTTCAGGCCTGCAAGGCATGTTTTATATGCATATCAAGCCATGTGGTTTAATAAGGCCCTGATCCTGCAAACACAAGTGTAGCTGTGCACTTCTCAAATGACAAGTCCATGGGAGACCTGACCAGGTAAAATTATTTTTTTCAAGGTAAACACAGACATCCAGTAAATATGTATTACTCCAGCTGAGGATTGGAAGGTGGGGGGACCTGTGGTGCAGCTCACCTTTACCTGCAGGCTTTCCCAAGCACATGGCTGCCACACAGGCAGCAGTTGTGCCTAACCATGCCCACCTGCTGACCCAAATCTGACAAAGCAGGGAGGTTACGTTCTTTCCTGTTTGTATGTGAAACCTCTGGACACAAGAAGGCAGCAGCTCAGTGTGGCTGGCTACCCAGGATTCTGCCAAGGAGGCCTGAGGCCTGGGGTTGGCATGTTTTTGCCTCCTAGCTCTGCCACAAACTCCCTGCAGGAAAACTCTCAGTGTCCAAGCGTGAGCTGGTCCCCTAAGGCTCTATTTAACCATTTGGCTCTCCAGGTGGTCTAAGCTACAGCAGAGGTAGGATCCCCATGGGCTGAGTGAGGAGGAAGGTATTGGTTTCTTAAGTTGGAAGGGTGATTTGTGAGTTGGGCACAAGGGCAGGAGAGATTAAGTGTCCCCGTTGAGGTGAACACCCAGGAGGGCCTTTTCCCTCCCTCCATGCTCACATCTCCTCTCTTCCCACCCATCCCTAAAAAAACATTCCGCCAACGGGAGCAGAGTCGAGTCCTCTGAGACCAGCCCCTGTGCAGGGCTGTTGCTTTGCACGGATGTATTTGGGCTGAAGTTGAAATGAGGTAATGGAAAGATGAGGCAATGTGCCAGTCGGGGCTTGATCTTGATTTACTGGAAAACTCTTTTAACAAGCAGGTCTGACGCCTAAAAAAACAGCCAGAAAGAAGCTGCAGCTCGAGTTCGCAGTTATGTGTTGCCCGCAGCAATGGAAACGCCAGTGTGAGGCCTAGGTTAGCGGGGGCTGCCCCACCAGAGGCACGTTTGGCTGCCTCACACAGCATGAGCAACGCCAAGCGCTGAGCCGCAGGCCGCGGAACCCTCCACATTTCGGGGCGCTCTGTTTTTCGGGGAGCAAAAAGAAGCGCAACGGCCCCGACCGAGCTGCGCGGGAGGGTTACGCTGCTGCAGGGAGGTGCCCCCGGCGAGGCACCGCCCCGCGACGTCTGGGGGTGGTCCCCGCTGGGTTTCCCGGGCTGGGCTGGGCGGGGCTCTCCGCTCCGCTCCGCCTTCCCTCTGCCGGTACCTTCCCTCCTTCCCTCCCAGCGAGGCAGGTCGGGGCGTGAGGCGGCGCGGAGCGCTCTGGTGTGGCGGAGCTCGCCGCGGAGGGGTGAGGCGTGAGCCCCGAAATGGCGGCCTCCCGGGGGGGCGGGTGGCCAGGCGGGTAGCCCTTGGTGAGGCAGCGGGTCCCGCCGTGGGGAAGCGGGGTGGGAGAAGGGGCTGGGTGGCGGCAGCCGTTCCCGGCCTGGGAGGAAGAGGGGAGGCGAAGCGCTGCCCGTGGGCCCCGTTGATAGCAGCGGGCTCTGGCGCTCTCCTGCCCGCCTCTCGCTCCTGGCTGCGCCGCCGTGGCCCGCCTGTACCTGGCCGCGCTCACCAGAGGCCAGCTCTGATGTAGCACTGCTTTGCTTCCCTGTCGGCGCCCAGTGGCATTGTACAACTTCACAGGGGCTTGGCATTGGCTTCTTTCATTTTTCTTTTTACCCTTCAGAAGTTTGTTAACCTGTTGCGGGAGGGGAGGTGTTTGCTGGTGTCAGAAGCTTTACACAGACCAAGCATTAGGAAAGCTGTTCTGAATGTTGCCTTCGTCTTGTGAAACGGTATTTATCTCCCCCTGCCTTTTGTTTAGTTGAGTCTCACTGCTGTAAGAGTTGTCATTTATGTTGGGCTCATAGGACTGTTGGAGGTGGAGGAGGGGGTGAACGAGCCCTTGTTTACCACGCAGTCTAGGCGATGTTCCATTGCTTTTATTTTGTGGAAGCTGAGTCAGATAGGAAGCTGTTGGCGATGGATTATTGTTGCTTGCCATGAGGGCTTTCCCAGTAGTCTTTGCCCAATGTCATGTCATGAAGAATGTAAACTACTGTTAATTCGGAAACATCCTGGCTCTTCCTGAGGGCTTTTTTTAATTAACCTGCTGCAGTATCCTGTTGAATTCTAGCAATGACATATTTTTATTTCAGGCTATTCTACAGCGTTCCTTAAGTTGTGCTGTTTCACTTCGTCTCCCTGCAGCACTTTCTGGCTTGCTCTGAGAATTCTCCTGGTGTCTGCGAGAACAAGGGTTGATTAAAATGGCATCACCCATCAGAGGTAATGCCCAGTGGTGGCCATTTTGTTGAAACAGTTTTGAAACGAGTCTCTTTTGCCAGAATGTGTTTCGTTTGCGATCTGCGAGGCCATTCGTTGCCTAGCTTCCTAGGGAAGCTTTTGATATGATGGCATATCCACCACCTGGTATTGTTGAGGCTGGAGAGCCTCTTGGCATGTCACCAGTCAGACAAAGGTCCATCCCAGTCCTCCTGCTACCAAAGATGACTGCCTGTGTTGGAGAGAACAGAGCATCTGTCTCTTCAGAGCTGCTGCTGAGCTCAACAGAAACTAGAAAAGCTGATGCAAAAATTTCGGTTTATTTAGATCCTCTGAAGGAGTTTGTGTGCCTAGGACAGGCAGTTCCCAATCAGCAAACTGTTGGAAACTGGGCACTGTTTGGGGCAGCATCACTTACGCTTTACCTGAAGTATCTGCTGGCAGGTCCCTGTCAAAGGTGTAATGTTGGTTTGCATATTTGAGTCTAGGCTCTGTTTTGCTACAGCTGCTCTTGGGTGCCAGTATGTTGACTCAGATGTCCTTGCGGAAAGCTTGGGCTGTGAGTCGGAGGAGTTGGCAGCTTTTGAGCTCTTCCATGTAACTGTTCTGAGATCACATCCTTGCTCTGTAGTTTGCTGATGATGGCCACGTACCTGACCCAGATGTATTTCTGTCCATCTGCTGTATTTCTGCAAAAAAAATGTTGTATTCCAAACTGCCACGTATATTGGATGGCCTGTGGCTTATTTAAATAATGGTTTACCTTTGCGTGGAGTCTTTCTGTAGTGGGGGAGAATGACACCCCGAGTTGCCTGGTAAAAGTCCTTGGCAGTCCCTGCTGTATTTTGATTGCAGTAAACAATAAGAACATGCCTTTTCTGTGTGCTTGAGATGATGTCCCATCTCTGACATCTCGTTTTACTTGGGAGCTGAGGTGGTTATATTTTGTGGGAGCTTAACACTGAAGTCTTCTTTCTGCTGTCTCAAGGCAGGTGTAGAGCAGAGCACTAACAGGAACTTCAACAGCCCAGATGGGGCTGTGCCTTTCCTTTTGGATCTAATATGAAAGTCATCTTCTGAATAAGCAAGGATACCAGCCCAAGAAGGTTTTTTTCTCAAATGATTTAGCTTCCCAGGCCTCTTGTGCAGTCTTATGCCTGTCTGGGAGCAGGCAGGACTTGGAGGCTTCTCTTCAAGCTCAGTAAGGCACACACAGCCGAAATCTTGGCTCTGTGGAGGATGTTTTTCAGTGCAGCCTCTGAAAGTTTGTGTTGATGGGTGTGAAAGATTCTTCAGCAAGGGGGTGGAAGAAATCTGCTTGTATTCCCTTGTCAAGCAAAATTGCTAGGTGGGAGTGGCTGATGGAGTGCTATTTATCCCTGTTAGGAAGTTTCCAGCAGGCGTATTGTGTTATTCCCAGCTAGTAAAAGTTGTAGCACAACTCTAGCTGTTCCAATTGCGCATACACAGACCAGGCAATGACTCCTTTGCTCTTGAGACAGCCCTGAAGGGGTTGACTGATGAGCTGTGTCTCCTCTAGTTGGGTCATCCCACAGGTAAATTCCCTTGTTGCTTCTATGAAGTTTGGCTTCTACTCTAAGGAATGTGGTGGGCTACTTGTTATGCAGAAGAGAAAATATGTATTTACATAGAATCATAGAATACATAGGGTTGGAAGGGACCTTAAAATCCTTACGATCATGTAGTTCCAACCCCTCTGCCATGGGCAGGGACGCCTCGCATTAGACCATGTTGCCAAGCCTCTGTCCAGCCTGGCCTTGAACACTGCCGGGAGTGGATCATTCATTACTTTGGGCAACCTGTTTCTGTGCCTCACCATCCTCACGGCATTTGTACATGTAACATCTTTGTCACCATGTGTACCTGTATGTGGCAAACTATCCTGCCTGATGTTTCCAGGTGATTTGGTCACTTATCAAGTAATCATGCTGTCTGTCTGCTTTTCTTGTACCTTCTGTTTAAGGCAGAAGTTTAGAAAGATAAAAGTGGATGGACTGACTCTGAAAGACAAAGGAGCAGCTTTGCTTTTTCATTTCTTAGTCTACTACTGCTATCCTCAGAGGCATTATCAGTCTTGCTCTTGAAACGTCCTGAGAAAATGCTCTCCTACTCCCCATCTCTACTCTCTGCTTCTGGGCTCAACAATGGGCTATCTCCCGCTGTCCTTGAGCATGAGAAACCGACAGCTGAAGTCATAGAAAGCCTGAGGGAGGGTGACTCCTGGAAGTTAAAGCTTGTGTCAATTTCCCTGGCTGTGAGGGACAGACAAAAACCTTTCACATCCTGAAGGTGAAGACCAGGTCTCCTTCTGTCTCAGTTGTTCATCCTGCCTTTCAGATACTGGACATGATTTTCCTTTTGCCACAGTAAAGCCGAAATGAACAGTGTCACTGTAAAGTCGCCCCATTTCCCCATTCTTTTTTTGCATGTGCCTTTTGGCAGTGTTCACGTAGGACAGTGACCATCTTCCCAATCTATAAGATAGGTGCTTTTCTTTGCCACCCCATGCCTGAAGACAGGGTGTGGAAGAAGTGGGGAACGTCAGAGCTGCGGGATGGAGTTGAGGTGTTTTGTCAGTTCTGCCGGGGAGCACTTCGTAATAGCCCTCCCCATGGCACAAATCCCATTCACTGCCAGGCCTTCTTGGCAAGGATCAGCACTGTAATAGCAGCACTGCTGAGGGGCATCTCTCTTGCCAGTGCTCTGCTCTGTCCTGCCTGCCAGACTCTTCTGCTTGTGATCTCAGCAGCCTGGCATCCTGGGGAATGAATTCAGTGAGTCCTATTAGTCCTGCATCCTGGCTGCTGCGCAGTAATAAAACTCTTGACAGAATGATCAGGATAATGACTATTTTGCACTCCTGGCCTTGCATGGCAGAGCAAGAGGTGTGGTTTGGGGTCTGGGCCACATTTTGATATAATCAGCATGGTCTGTGTCTCTAAGTTAAGTTCTCTTGCTGGTTGGGTGGTCAGGGCTCTCCGGTCTGAGGCTGGAGAAGTGCTGTACAGCTCTGTAAGTGCATTTCAGGCAGTAGTGCAATAGGCTCAACACGGGCCTCAAAGTGTAGCCAACTCCTTAGAGGGATGCAGTCATGAGTAGCTGCTATGACATGCCAGCTGAGGTCTTCATGGAGTTATTGAGATATATATATATTATTTATGTGTGTGGTTTATGCATGGTTTTGATGCCAGCAGTGCTGGGCACTGTTGGAGGCAGGATACCGGTCTAGTGGGATAAGAAAGGACATCGGGAATTATGTTCTGTGGAGGTTAAGTGAGGTACTTGGCAACTGTTTAAATTCATTTGAGTTTTGACCCACAGTCAGCAGGGTACAGCCAAGCAAATGCAGTTTTAATCATGCAGGGAGTTGCACAGTGTGTATTGCCTGAATCCATGTAGGCTGCCATGTAGTCACTTTTTCTGCCTGCTAAGCATGGGTGTAATAGGTGAATGCATCTGAGTGAGGGAGCATGGAGGATGTTGGATGTGGCAGGGCCTCTTAAGAGAAGTGGAAATGAGACATTTGGGAGGTGCAAGAGGGAATGTTGCTCAGAGCCACAGGTTGTTCGTGACAGTAGTAATGAGGTTTCATAAGCTAAAACTGCCGGAAATGGGTGACATAAAATGTTTAGCACTTACTGTTGTTTCTTATCTATTTCTAGCACCAGATCTGAATGCAAAAGGAGCAAAGTTCACTTTTCCAGCACAGGTTCTCTTTCCTTTTATAGGAAAGAGAACAGAGCAGCAGGGAGCTGTTTTTATATAGAGCAATAGAGAGCTCTGGCAGTGGAAAGTTATGTGGCTCTAAGTGCCTGTGCTTCAGTGGAGTTTGTCCCTGAACTGCAGAGCGGAAGATGCATGCTTCTAAGAAGCTGTGGAGTTGGGCTGATATCTGCAGCATGTTTCCCCATGTCTTTGCCCCTGTAGGAGAGGGACAGGTTGAGAGGAAGAAACCCATTCAGGAGATGCTGTGAGAGAAAAATCTGGCTGTGGCCAACTGCA